ATTTCTCCTGAAGAGATGAAGATTTTCTTTGTATGTTATTGAGAGATGAAGATTTCTCTCGAGGAGATGAAGATTTCCCCTGCATACCAATAGCTCGACGACGGTTGGAGCGTTACGGTTTTTATTAAGACCTTAAGGGTATATATCAATTGATAGCCTTTTAGTAACTAAAATAAGTTTACATTGTTTAGCTCTTTTCTAATTCACAGTTAATCGCCCCAAAATATACTTTGGTCTTGTGAATGATGTTATATGGAAGTATTTTACACCACTCAATGATAAAGTGGGCTTGAGACGTCTCAGCTATTGAAAACCTCAAAGTTTATTAGTGGGAGACCTGAAAATATCAAGTCAACGCCGACTAATCCAATACATTGCAATACGTTAACTTATGCAATAATGCAACTTTATAGTGCTATGAATGAATGAATATTAGATTTATAACGAGTGGGTTTAAACTGTATATTAATTTTATTTTACTTTTTAAATTAATAAAAAGCTCACAAAATTCATTTGGGTTTGGAACCTTTCAAATGTTACCCTTTCTCTGCCCATATTAACATGTCATTCATTCTATACCAGGTTATTGTACACTTAGGGTCGGTTCTACGAGTGTGCAAAAATGTGCATTTGCACAAAACCCTTTTATAAAAGAAAACTGTTTTTGTTCTGAGCCCTTCCAAACTTTGGACTGGGTCTGTGTACACTCAAGCAATCAACTTTTACCAGTTTTACTTCGTAATAATTTTTGTTTTTACATGAAAACTGAAAAATCTTAAGTTTGATAATTCACTTTGAACTAGAAATCCGATGAGTTTTAAATTAGAAGTCATAATGTTTTTTAAAAAGAACGTAGAAGTCATAAATTATTTCACATTCATAAGTGAACGGCCTTATATATTGTCCAAGTCAATGTATATAGCCGACCTATCCAACACAAGTCACAATGACCCACTGGCTTTTATTTAAAAGATTTTTTACAATCATTGAATCAAATATTATTCCCTTAAAATCAAATCATTTGTTAATGTTTGTTATTACTTGATACACATGAAATGATACTCTGTATCCAAGACTTTTTAATTAAACAAATCATAAAGAGAGATTAAAAGGTTCTTCTTTACATTGACGTTTTTAAGGATCTCTAAATGGGCTACGATTAAAAGCTAAGCCCAAATCTAAAAAGCCCGACAGATATATCCAAAAGGAGATATTTTAAGAGCGCCACGTGTTTGAACCTTACACATGAAGTCATTTACACGACATAAATAAACAGAGGCGTTGAGTCAGGTCGAGAGACTCGTGGTGGGGCCCGAGTAAACCGTTATGCTGCTTCTTAAATGACCATATTACCCACAGTCTCACTTCGTTGTGGTGAAAGGAGAGAAAGGGTAAATTCGTAAAATCGTGAATATGCAGAGAATTTGATGATTATTCTCTATTTATTTAAAATTATGATTTTGGCCCTTCTCTTTCTTAATCGCGTAGTGCCACCCATTTCCAGAGAGGACACAGCCTTTCTTCTTCATCCCCTTCCTTCTTCTCTCTACTCATTCGCCATTTAAAAAAATCA